GCGGTTGGAAACATGGATAAGGTTTGAGGGGCTGTGTCCATGAGCCGGCTTGTCTGCGTGGGGGTGAGTGGGGGGTACGGGTGAGGGTGTCAGGTGAACAGATGTATGTGAAGGGGTGTGTATTGGGGTGTGCAGGGGCGTATAGGAGCTGTATAGGGGTGTGTATTGGGGTGTGCAGGGGTGTATAGGGGTGTGTATTGGGGTGTGTGCAGGGGCGTATAGGAGCTGTATAGGGGTGTGTATTGGGGCGTATAGGAGCTGTATAGGGGTGTGTATTAGGGGTGTGCAGGGGTGTATAGGAGCTGTATAGGGGTGTGTATTGGGGTGTGCAGGGGTGTATAGGAGCTGTATAGGGGTGTGTATTGGGGTGTGCAGGGGTGTATAGGAGCTGTATAGGGGTGTGTATTGGGGTGTGCAGGGGTGTATAGGAGCTGTATAGGGGTGTGTATTGGGGTGTGCAGGGGTGTATAGGAGCTGTATAGGGGTGTGTATTGGGGTGTGTATGGGCGTATAGGAGCTGTATAGGGGTGTGTATTGGGGTGTGCAGGGGTGTATAGGAGCTGTATAGGGGTGTGTATTGGGGTGTGCAGGGGTGTATAGGAGCTGTATAGGGGTGTGTATTGGAGTGTGTGTAGGGGCGTATAGGAGCTGTATAGGGGTGTGTATTGGGGTGTGTAGGGGTGCATAGGAGCTGTATAGGGGTGTGTATTGGGGTGTGTATTGGGGTGTATAGGAGCTGTATAGAGGTGTGTATTGGGGTGTGCAGGGGCGTATAGGAGCTGTATAGGGGTGTGCAGGGGCGTATAGGAGCTGTATAGGGGTGTGCAGGGGCGTATAGGAGCTGTATAGGGGTGTGTATTGGGGTGTGTAGGGGCGTATAGGAGCTGTATAGGGGTGTGTATTGGGGTGTGTAGGGGCGTATAGGAGCTGTATAGGGGTGTGTATTGGGGTGTGTATTGGGGTGTATAGGAGCTGTATAGAGGTGTGTATTGGGGTGTGCAGGGGTGTATAGGAGCTGTATAGGGGTGTGCAGGGGCGTATAGGAGCTGTATAGGGGTGTGCAGGGGCGTATAGGAGCTGTATAGGGGTGTGTATTGGGGTGTGTAGGGGCGTATAGGGGTGTGTATTGGGGTGTGTAGTTGTGTATAGGAGCTGTATAGGGGTGTGTATTGGGGTGTGCAGGGGTGTATAGGAGCTGTATAGGGGTGTGTATTGGGGTGTGCAGGGGTGTATAGGAGCTGTATAGGGGTGTGTATTGGGGTGTGTATTGGGGTGTACAGGAGCTGTATAGGGGTGTGTATTGGGGTGTGTAGTTGTGTATAGGAGCTGTATAGGGGTGTGTATTGGGGTGTGTAGGGGCGTATAGGAGCTGTATAGGGGTGTGTATTGGGGTGTGCAGGGGTGTATAGGAGCTGTATAGGGGTGTGTATTGGGGTGTGCAGGGGTGTATAGGAGCTGTATAGGGGTGTGTATTGGGGTGTGTATTGGGGTGTATAGGAGCTGTATAGGGGTGTGTATTGGGGTGTGCAGGGGTGTATAGGAGCTGTATAGGGGTGTGTATTGGGGTGTACAAGGGCGTATAGGAGCTGTACAGGGGTGTGTATTGGGGTGTGTATTGGGGTGTGTGCAGGGGCGTATAGGAGCTGTATAGGGGTGTGTATTGGGGTGTGTATTGGGGTGTGTGCAGGGGCGTATAGGAGCTGTATAGGGGTGTGTATTGGGGTGTGTATTGGGGTGTGTGCAGGGGCGTATAGGAGCTGTATAGGGGTGTGTATTGGGGTGTGTAGTTGTGTATAGGAGCTGTATAGAGGTGTGTATTGGGGTGTGTGTAGGGGCGTATAGGAGCTGTATAGGGGTGTATATTGGGGTGTGTAGGGGCGTATAGGAGCTGTATAGGGGTGTGTATTGGGGTGTGTATTGGGTGTGTATTGGGGTGTGTATTGGGGTGTGTATGGGCGTATAGGAGCTGTATAGGGGTGTGTATTGGAGTGTGTGTAGGGGCGTATAGGAGCTGTATAGGGGTGTGTATAGGGGTGTGTAGTTGCGTATAGGAGCTGTATAGGGGTGTGTATTGGGGTGTGCAGGGGCGTATAGGAGCTGTATAGGGGTGTGTATTGGGGTGTGTATTGGGGTGTGTAGGAGCTGTACAGGGGTGTGTATTGGGGTGTGTAGGGGCGTATAGGAGCTGTATAGGGGTGTGTATAGGGGTGTGTAGTTGCGTATAGGAGCTGTATAGGGGTGTGTATTGGGGTGTGTATTGGGGTGTGTGCAGGGGCGTATAGGAGCTGTATAGGGGTGTGTATTGGGGTGTGTATTGGGGTGTGTGCAGGGGCGTATACGAGCTGTATAGAGGTGTGTATTGGGGTGTGCAGGGGCGTATAGGAGCTGTATAGAGGTGTGTATTGGGGTGTGTATTGGGGTGTGCAGGGGTGTATAGGAGCTGTATAGGGGTGTGTATTGGGGTGTGTAGTTGTGTATAGGAGCTGTATAGGGGTGTGTATTGGGGTGTGTAGGGGCGTATAGGAGCTGTATAGGGGTGTGTATTGGGGTGTGCAGGGGCGTATAGGAGCTGTATAGAGGTGTGTATTGGGGTGTGTGTAGGGGCGTATAGGAGCTGTATAGGGGTGTGTATTGGGGTGTGCAGGGGTGTATAGGAGCTGTATAGGGGTGTGTATTGGGGTGTGTAGGGGCGTATAGGAGCTGTATAGGGGTGTGTATTGGGGTGTGTAGTTGTGTATAGGAGCTGTATAGGGGTGTGTATTGGGGTGTGCAGGGGCGTATAGGAGCTGTATAGGGGTGTGTATTGGGGTGTGCAGGGGTGTATAGGAGCTGTGCTTGAGAGGCAGTGTGTATGTATGGGATGCTGCTGGTTACGGGGGCTTGCGTGTTGGGTTGTCTTTGGGTTGTGTGACATTGGGAATGTGGGAGAGTGGTGAGAGCGGGGGGTTGTGTGTATGGGATGTGTGAGGTTGAACTGGGTTGAGGTGGTGTGCTTCAGGGTGCGCGTGGGGTTGTATGGAGATCTGTGAATGTGGACATGAGGTATGTGTTATAAGCGTATGTACCGGTGTGCACATGTGGGAATGTGTGTGCACGGGTGGTGTTGGGTGTATCACTGTGTGAGGGCTGGGTGTTTGGGGGTGTCTGGTGGTTGCAGGGTGTACACTGGAGCTGTGCAGGGGCATGTATGGGAGTGGGTGTACATGGGTGGAGTTGTAGGGGGCTGTCTGCTCAGGAGTGTGTGAGGGTGAGTTGGGGTGTCTGGTGGTGGGTGTAAGTGCGTGTGGGGTGTTTGAGGGGTGTGTGACCAGAGATGCATTTTGTGTACGTGAAGGAGGTGTGTATGGGGGCGTATGTGTTTGAGGGGTGTGTGACTGGAGGGGTTGGCAGTGGATGCGTATCTGGAGGGCATTTATATGGAGGTGCATATGGAGTGTGTAAGAATGGAGGTATAGATGTGGGAGGGAGGGCTGTGTCTGGAGCATGAATACGGAGGGTTGTGGGTTCCGTACACAGAGTGCCACCGTACAGGGGTCTCTAAGGATGAATGACTTGGGTTGTGGGGGTATGGCTGGAGGGTGTATGGGAGCGTGTATGGGGTGTGTCTTGGGTGCATGATGGGTGCGTGGGTGGGTGCATGGCGGTGGTGTCTGAGGTGATGTGGATGTTTGGGCTGTGACGGGGGCTTCTATGGGGAATGTGTGTATGAACATGAATGTAGGGGTGTATGACGTGTCAGGGTGAGTGTGGATGTGCCGGGGGCGCGGGGGGACATGTGTGTGTTCTGAGTGTGCATAAGTTACCGGGGAGGTACAGTGCACATGGCTGTGTCTGGAGGTGAGCGTGATGTGTCAGGGTGTTGCGAAGATGAATGTGTGTGCTGGGGTGGGTTGGGGGATTTGAGGAGTGTATGTGTGTGTCTGGTTGTGTCTGGGGCTGTTGGCCATGGGCCATGTCAACAGGAGTCTATAATGTATGGGGGTGCGATGGGGCTGTATGGGGCCGTGTGATGAGTTTGTGGAGGGGTGTCTATGCGATTCAGTGACTTAGGGTTGTATGTTGGATGTGACTGGTGCGGGTGTGTGTGTACGGAGGGAGCTGTGGACATGGGGTGTCTTACAAGGTACGTGAGGGTGAACTGGGGTGGGTGATACTGGGTGTGGGTGTCTGGAGCGGGTGTGAACGAGATGTGTGCACGGGGCATCGGGTGTATGGGGATGCATACTGCGTATATGGAGGCTGTGAGGGGGTCCCCAGCATCCTGCACGCATGCTCGGGCACGGCGCACGCCCTTACCTGCTGACTCTCCTCTCGTCCCACGGGCACCTCCCGAGCCACGCCGAGTGCCCGGCCGCGTGCTGGACGCTGTGGACACAAACGTCAGTCAGATGTGACCTGGGTGGGGGTGGGAGAGTCCCCAGACTTTCGATGTGCCGGGATCACATGTGGGTGCTGGTTCTAATCCCGACAACTCCGCTTCCCATCCTGCTCCCTGCCTATGACCTGGGAAAGCATTCAAGGACGGCCCAAAGCCTTGGGACCTGCACCCGCCTGGGAGACCCGGAAGACGCTCCTGGCTCCTGATTGGCTCAGCTCCAGCTGTTGCTGCCACTTGGAGTGAGCCAGTGCCTGGAAGATCTTTCTCTCCTCCTCTCTATACATTTGAATTTACAATAAAATCTCAAGTTTTTTAACACCACAAAGAAATGCTACATATTTGAGGAGATGGCACATCACTGCACCCCGATATGATGAGGGCAGGAACCTCATAAATACACAATCCGAAGCTGCCCTTTCAGCCAGCACTGCTCGCCAGCGGCCCCTCCGAGCCCCTCCTGGTGAGGGGGAAGCCGCAGGCGCGGGGGCTGGGGTCTTGGGGGGAAGTGGCCCCAGACCAGGCAGGCCAGCTCCCTCGGAGGGACACAGCCTGTGCCCACCTGAAGACCCAGGGCTCCCCTGCACCCTCATGGGGGCCGAAGGTGCCGGCCGCACCCCCTTACCTGTGACGACGAGCTGCAGGGGGTCACTGGGGGCGGACCACAGGTACGGGGACGAGCTGCTGAAGCTGTAGCACCTGTAGACCCCGCTGTGGGCGGCCGTGACCGTGACGAGGGAGAAGCTGGCCTGGTACCAGCGATCGTGCTCCTTCCGGGGCTGCGCCTGGCCCTCCTTGGACAGGGCGAACTGGTCAAAACCGCTCCTGGTCTGACACTGCAGGGTCACGTCCTCACCCGAGCGCACCACGGGGCCGGGGATGGCCGACAGCCGGGGCTTCTCAAAGACTCCTGGGGGGACGGGGCGGTCAGGACGGCGGGGGCCTGTCCGGAGCGGGGCGGCCGGCTGCACCCCGGGGCCCGGCAGGGGAGGCACTCCGGGGACACCACTGCTGCCTAAGCTCATCGCCCACAAGATGCCCGCCTCATGGGCTGTGAGTGTGTGTCACCTCACGGGGTCACGGCTGACGCACTGGCTGTGCGTGTCCCCCACACACGTCACCTCACGGGGTCACGGCTGACGCGCTGGCTGTGCGTGTCCCCCACACGTCACCTCACGGGGTCACGGCTGACGCGCTGGCTGTGCGTGTCCCCCACACATGTCACCTCATGGGGTCACGGCTGACGTGCTGGCTGTGCGTGTCCCCCACACACGTCACCTCATGGGGTCACGGCTGACACGCTGGCTGTGCGTGTCCCCCACGCACGTCACCTCATGGCGTCACTATAAACTCCTGCACCCCAGGCATGCATCCCAGGCAGAAGGGTCACCTTGCAACACACCACAGGGTAGCGGACACACTGTCACACCACACGGGGGTGTCACCCACAGATTGGGGACATCCTAAACCTGCACTCTCAGTGCCAGCTCCCAGGGGCCGCCTTAACCCTGGCAGACACACGGACCCTCCCACAGACCTGCAGATCCACCACTCTCATTATTCCTGCTTTACACATGAAACAGACATCCACAATACAAAATAACTCGCCTGATGATAGCACACCAAACATCAACCTTGAAAGTTCCCACCACAGAAACAAAGGATATGAAAAGGTCACAAGCAGGGCCTGGCGCGGTAGCCTAGTGGCTAAAGTCCCACCCACATGGGTGCTGCTTCATGTCCTGGCTGCTCCACTTCCCATCCAGCTCCCTGCCTGTGGCCTGGGAAAGCAGTCGAGGACAGTCCAAAGCCTTGGGACCCTGCACCTGCATGGGAGACCTGGAAGAAGCTCCAGGCTCCTGGCTTCAGATTGGTTCAGCCCTGGCCATTGCGGCAGCTTGGGGAGTGAACCAGCAGACGGGAGATCTTCCTCTCCGTCTCTCCTCTTCTCTATATATCTGACTTTCCAATAAAAATAAATAAAACCTTAAAAAACCCCAGTCATGCACAGGCGTGCCTCAGGTCACTGTCAGGCCGATATCGCGTCCAACTACTCCTTGCCTCCCTTCAGTCCCGCACAAACGCCTGGCACAGCCAGGAACTCCCACACGGGAGGCAGGGGTGCCGCTCCTGCCAGGGCACATGAGCAGGCAGCCGGGGCCCAGCTGGAGGGGCCGGGAGCTCAGCCGGGCATCGGCAGGGCAACAGGGCATTCGAGCAGCAATCGAACCAGACGCCTCCCGTCCCAGCAATGGGCAAGCCCGGCAGATGGCCGCATGTCGGCAGAGGTGAGCTAGAAAGCACGTGACCTCAGAATCACAGCAAGGCTCACAAAAGGATGGGGAGACAGGCACCTGGTAAGAGCACAGGGCTGGAGGTGACCCCAAGAGCAGTGGGGGTGCAGAGCAACTGCTGAGAGAGAATCAGGGCACTCAATGCTGAGGTCGGGGGAAGGATCAGAAAGCCTGGGCAACCACTGCATGCCAGTACACTGTGACATCACTGCACACTGTGACATCACTGCACACTGTGACACACTGCACACTGTGACATCATTGGACACTGACATCACTGCACACTGTGACATCACTGCACACTGTGACATCACTGCACACTGTGACATCACTGGACACTGACATCACTGCACACTGTGACATCACTGGACACTGACATCACTGGACACTCTGACATCACTGCACACTGTGATCACTACACACTGTTGACATCACTGCACACTGTGACATCACTGGATACTATGACATCACCTATGAACCAGGACAGCAGTGACACACTGTGACATCACTAGACCCTGTGACATCACTGGACCCTGTGACATCACCGGCTAAGCATGACACCAGTGACACCATGACATCACTAGAGCTGTGACATCCATGCGCCAGAATACCAGTGACACACTGTTGACATCACTGGATGCTGTGCCGTCCCCTGGACCTGAGACACTGTGACATCACTGGATGCTGTGACATCATTGTGCACTGTGACATCACTGCACACTGTGACATCTCCTATGAACCAGGACAGCAGTGACACACTCTGATGTCACTGGACACTGTGACATCACTGGACTCTGTGACATCACCTGCTAAACACAACACCAGTGACACTATGACATCACTAGATCTGTGACATCCCTGAGCCAGAATACCAGTGACACACTGTTGACATCACTAGATGCTGTGACATCACTGTAAACTATGACATCACTAGAGCTGTGACATCAGCCACAGACTGGGACATTGTGGCACTCCTGTGATGTCCCCTGGGCCCTGGGACACTGGGACATCATCCCCTGTGGGTACACGAAGCAGGTGTCTCCTGGGCTCATCCCGGGCATGGGCCAGGCACTGGCTGGTCTCGTGTCAGAATTCTGGCCCTTGTGCCAACTGTTGAACACTGCCTTATGACATCACTAATGCTGACGTGTGGGTCCCGCCCCATCCCCACACTGGGACCTCCAGGCCACGCCTGCCTATGGACGCCACCCACCCTTCCAACTCACCGACCGCCACCAGCTCCAGCACCTCACTGGCGGGCGACCAGCGGCTCCCGTGCTGGTAGGAGCAGCGGTAGCGCCCCACGGAGCTTCTGTCCAGGGCCGGGATGACCAACACGTCCTGGTCGCTGTACCTGCGGGTGCCCAGCTGCTCCAGGCGGTACAGGTCCACGCCCGGGGGCCCCCGGCAGCGCAGCGTCACCAGCGAGCCCAGGGGCACCAGCGCACTGGGCAGGGCCTGGAGGGTCGGCCTGGGCAGTGGGCCTGCAAGAGAGCGCAGGCAAGCGGGGGCCTCGACAGGCACCCAGACCCCCACACCTCCCTGTCACCCACAGAGCCCAGCCCAGGGCACTCACCATGCCGTGCACGGACCACCTGTGCCAGCCACAGCCCTGGGGGGACAGGAAGAGGCCCAAAGCTCACAGCTCCCTCCAGGGCCCAGCTTCTGCACTGTACTTGTTTGTCCAGGGACACACACACAGATCACAGGAGTGACCGCAGCCAATGGCAAAAGGCCACTCTGGATGACTCTGTCTCCAGGAGGGATCGCGGGGAAGTGGGGGCTCAGAAGCCAGCGGGGACTGCAGGGAGCACGGAGAAGGGGTGGACGTGGCCGCAAGGGGCAGGGCTGGGACTGTGGGCTGTGCAGGGGCCTGGACGGGCAGGGGGCTCTGGCCACCGGCGGCATCCAGAGACACAGTGCAAGTTCTGTGTGCTGTGTGTCCCCATGGAATGACGTCCACATGAGGACACCTCCCCCACCACACATCCCTGCGCGCGCACGCGCACACACACACACACACGACTTACTTAGCTGTTCCTGCTAATGTTTGTTTTTAAAAAGACATATTAGAAAGGCAGAAAGCAATTTGTTACACTTTCCAATGTGCCTACAACAGCCAGGGCTAGATCAGGCCACAAGCCAGGGGCCCAAGGCTGCCGGCGGGGCACAGAGTCCCAGAGCTCTGCCCAGGGCTCCCAGGGGGCACAGGGTCCCAAGCACTGGGGCCATCTTCTGTTGCTTTCCCAGACACATTAGCAGGGAGCTGGGCGGGAAGTAGAGCAGCTGGGACTCAAACCAGTACTCATATGGGATGCCACCCCACACCCACTGCCACCCAAAGATACTTTATTGAAAATTCGCGGAAAAATGAATTGAGTTTATGGTTTTACACCAGGGCTTCTCCGACGGCAATGCAGGATGTGAACGAACCTGCTGTCCCCCAACTCCATTTCCATGAATGTTGTCAGGTACCTGCCCCACGCGCCTAGCTCCCTGCTGGCCTCTCACACCGTCCGGGGGTCCGGCTGACAGCACCCAGGGGTGGCAGAGCTGACCGCCTGTTCTAGTGCATGCTGCGTGTCGTTGTAGCTTGCCTGCCAGCAAGGCCCGCCGTGACAGCCCGCGCCAAGGCACACACGCCCCACCCCCACCAAATTCATCAGAGCAAAAAAACAGGCCTTACTAGCAAGTTGGCACTCTGTGGTGACAAAGTCACAAAGACAGGGCAAGCCACACCCTCTGCTCCTGCTGCCAGGCCAGGGAGCACAGCTGGGCAGCGGATGGGGGTGGGGGGCTGCAAGCAGGAAGGGGTCCCCCGGCTGTGAGGCAGGAAGCCCTGTGGAACCCCCGCCCGGCTCCTTCCCGCTGATACTCAGCACAGCTCACTGCGGGAAGGTCGGAGCTCTAGCTGGGTGTCCCGCGTGGGTGCAGGGAGCCGGGCCAGCCTCCGCGCGTTCCCAGCTCCTCCACAGGAGCCGAGGCTGCAGTGATGGCAGCATCACCCACCAGGCCAGAGTGGGCTCAATGTTCTCACCACAGAAACAGCCAGCCAGCTCGTGGATGTGCCCAGCCTTCCTAGGAGGCAGCCAGCCACCAGCCCAGCGCGGGGCCCACGCCCACGCCCCCGACGCCAGCTCCCTGCTCATGCTTAAGTGCCCACAGCAGACCCACACCGGGCTCCCTGCCCCCGGGCTCCGCCAGCTCTTGGACACTTGTAAACTAACAGATGGACGCCCTCCTGTTACCTGACCCCTCCGTTTTCTCTCTCTCTCCCTTCCTCTGAAATTTTAAAAAATGTAAGGCTCATGTTGAAAATTAATACGTGCCATTTCCATCTGTCAATTTAAACAGCAGGGGGCTGGAACTGCGTTGGCATAGCTGGCTAAGCCTCCACCTGCCTGTGGCCACAGTTTGTGACCTGCCTGCTCCACTTCCCATCCATCTCCCAGCCTAGGAAAGCAACGGAGGGTGGCCCAGGTGCTTGGGACCCTGCACCCATGTGGGAGATCCAGAGGGTCCTGGTTCCAGCCTGGCTCAGCCGAGGCACTGTAGCCATTTGGGGAGGGAGCCAGCCGAGGAAGGCTCGGTCTCTCCCTGTGTCTCAGGCACTCGGCCTTTCAAACGGAACAGATCTTTTCTTTAAAGGCCCTGGCCTGGAGGCTGCAGTCCCATGGCTGTGTTGCGCCCTGGGCTGCGTGGCTCACACGGAAGGCTCAGCCCCCTGAGCCCGGCTGGCCCGTGGACGGAGCGGCCACAGCAAAGGCCACAGCCGGGCTGCTGGTATAGAAGGACTCACCGTCTGCGAGATGCGCCCAGAGCTGCAAGCTAGCCACACACCTGCCAGGACCCCCGGCCTCCCTGCCAGGACCCCCGGCCTCCCTGCCAGGACCCCCGGCCTCCCTGCCAGGACCTCCGGCCTCCCTGCCAGGACCTCCGGCCTCCCTGCCAGGACCTGCCGCCTCTCCGGGCGCCCCTGCCCCCTGGCCTCCCGCTGCTCCTGCTGGACACACGGCACCTCCCCCGGACACGCAGGCGCGCTGGGCACCTGGGGAGAGTGGGGGAAGCGAGGCCAGGCGACCCTCTCCCGACCCCACAACCGCCCAAGACGCCGACAGGCTCCGCGGGTGTGAGGCCCGCGTTCACGTGCCTGGGCCACAGCCCGGTCCCCAACGTCCCCAAGCCCATGTTCTCAGAAACGCAGGTTCCACGCCAGCTTAACCTCTGAGCATGCCCCCATACAACAGTCAGGCTCGGACACACGCACGCAGAGAGCCCAGGAGCCCGGTCCCCTGCCTGGCCGACCCTCCGTGCTGTGGCCGCCCCTGGGGACTCACCCAGGCAGAAGACGCTCCGCACAGGTGGGGCCATGGCTCCCGAGCCCCGCACTCCGGCTCTCCGGCTGCTCCGACACGCTTCCCGGCTCTCCGGCTTATCTCGGCTCCCCAGCCGGGGCTGCCCCATCCGTCTGTGCCCCCCTTGCCACATCGCCCCCGCCAGCTTCCCTCCGGCCCAGGCCCACAAACCACCAAGTGGCTTGACGAGCCCGGGGGCGGGCAGGCACGGGCCCTCGGGCCGGCAGGCGAGGCGAGCCTGCACAGGTGCTGCGGATAACGGCACCTGCCCGGATGGGAGGCTTTGGGTGTAGACGGAGGGACGGCAACAAACTCCACGACTTTCAAACAGTAAACACCCCGTTTACACGCCTGGCAGGGAGCTAGAACATCGCTAACCCATTTTATTAATCTAACTGCTGACCCTGGCTGCTGCAGTAAGTGCTCAGCATGGAGAAGTGGAGCTGAAGGTTGTATAGCCAGAGCCCTATGACCCTGGACGAGACGTCCGGGCAGGGTCCTTGCCAAGACCGCTGTGTTGGGGAGACTCGGACCCCAGCTCGAGCTAGCAACAAAGGCTCCGCGTTTGCTTTGTTGCATGTGGAGGTTGTGTGTTCGTGGCTGGGGTTAAATTCTGGACCCAATGCTGGATGCTAACACGATTTTCTTCAACGGTTCAAAACCGCTCCTGCACTTCGGATATTATGGGATGCGCTCGGCACCTGCGGTCCTGCCCAGCACACGTGTTTTCCACTGCACAGACGTAGAGCGGTCAACGGGGATGAGGCACAACGAAGGGGCTCTGCCGAGAGCAGGGCTGGGGGCCCAGGCGTGTAGGACCGGGCGCTGCCGCCACCTCCTGCTCCACGCCACGGGTGGACGGGCCACCCAGAAAGGCAGAAAGAAGCGGGCAAAGTACGCCAATGTTGTGGCATAGCAAGCAAACCACCACCAGTGGTGCTGGCATCCCACATGGGCACCGGTTCTAATCCCGGCAGCTCCACTTCCCATCCAGCTCCCTGCTTGTGCCCTGGGAAGGCAGTCGAGGACGGCCCAAAGCCTTGGGACCCTGCTCCCGCGTGGGAGACCCGGATTAGAGGAGTGGGCCAGTGGATGGATATCTGTTTCTCTGCCTCTCTGCCTTTCACATAACTAGGAACATCTTAAAAGGGGCAAACCCTGAACTAGCCACAGCTGGGCCCTTAGTGATAACGCCAGTCTTTCCCAGGAGCTCCCAGCGGCACCAGCTGCAAGGAATTCTGGGACTGCCGGTGGGCTTCCCTGAGCCCCCACACATCCCACTGCCCGGGGTGGGGGGGCAGCATCAGGCTAACCCCACCTCCTCAGCCTCGATGGGCAACTGATGCCAACGTGTTCCTGCGTGCTCTTACACAGCCCGCTGTGCCAGCTGGGCGACGCTGAACCACTCACCCCCAGACAGCTGCAAGGGCACGCGGGCAGCGCCGGGCACAGCCTCACTCACGCCACCACCAAGGCTTTTGTCCTGCAAAGCCGAACCCCTGCAGCTGGTAGACGGCACCCAAGCCCCCAGCACCTAATATCCAGCCCCTGCCCCAAGTACCTAACACCCAGTACCAGCCCCAGCACCCAGCCCCAAGCACCTAGCACCCAGTACCCAGCCCTAGCATCAAGCAAGCCCCATCAGCACCCAGTACAAACCCCAAACTCTCCGCCCCAGCACCCAGCCCCTACCGCGAAGCACCTAACACCCAGCACCAGCACCCACCATCATACTTGCATCCCTGTGGGCTCAGCCCCCCAGACATATCACGTAAGCGGGATCACGCAATGCTCATCTTCTCATGGAACCTGCACCACGGCCTCCAGGCTCCCCCACACCACAGCATGCGTCCACCACGGCCTCCAGGCTCCCCCACACCACAGCGTGCGTCCACCACGGCCTCCAGGCTCCCCCACACCAAGCATGCGTCCACCACGACCTCGAGGCTCCCCGACACCACAGCGTGTGTCCACCACGGCCTCCAGGCTCCCCCACAGCACAGCGTGCGTCCACCACGGCCTCCAGGCTCCCCCACACCAAGCATGCGTCCACCACGACCTCGAGGCTCCCCCACACTGCAGCGTGCGTCCAAACGTTAGTCCCAGCACCAAGGCCGCTCTCCTAACCGCCGGGACCCCGGCCCTGCCAAGTCCCCGCAGGCCTCCTGCTCTTGGGCTTCAGGGCAGCCCGGAAGCAGAAATGTTAGACCATACGGTAACTACATTTGGCAAGAAAACAGCACAACATATTTTTAGGATTATTAGGATTTAGAAAGGCAGAGTTACAGAGAGGAGACAAGTCTTCCAACTGCTGGTTCACTCAGCAAATGGCCAGAACAGCCAGAGCTGGGCTAGTCTAAAGCCAGGAGCCAGGAGCTTCGTCTGTGTCCCATGTGGGTACAGAGGCCCAAGGACCTGGGCCATCCTCTGCTTTCCCAGGCCACAAGCAGGGAGCTGGAGCAGAAGTGGAGCAGCCGGGACTCGAACCCATGTCCACATGCCAGAGCCACAGGCCAAGGCTTAGTCTACTACACCACAAGTAACACTTTTTTATTTTAAAAATTTGCTTATTTTAAGGGCAGAGTTAGAGAGGTCCAACTTCTGCTGGTTCATTTCCTAAGTGGCCACAGCAGCCAGGGCGGGCCAGGCCAAAGCTGCCTTGGGAGTTTCTCAAGTGCCCGGGCTGTTAGCAGGGAACTGGATCACAAGTGGAGCAGCCGGGAATAGAACCAGCACCCAAGCAGGATGGCGGTGTTGGTGGCAGCTCCACCTGCTGAGCCATGTGCCCGCCCGGCGCCCAGCTGTGGGGATCCCCGACTCCGTCCTGGTGAGGGCCATGGGACAGGAAGCCAGGGAGCTGATGGGGGTCCCTCAAGGACAGCCTTAACCCCTGTACAGACAGTGCCAGAGGACTTCCCACCAAGGCCTCTTCAATTTCAAAAAACTTTATTTTCTTTTTATTTGAAACGCAAAAGGACAGACTTCCATTCACAAATTCACTGGTTCCCCTAAATGGCCACAAACACTGGGCCAGGCTGGAGCTGGGAGGCTGAGCCATCCTGGCCTCCCCAGCACCTGGCCACCACCTGCCACGCCCAGAGAGCTGGACTGGCGAGCGGGCACGCACTACTCCCCCGCCTGCCCCGCATACCCCGCCTGCCCCGGGCCGCTGTGGCTTCCTGCGGTGCAGCCAGTCTGGGCCTGGCTGTCTGTAACGAGTAACTCGATAGCGCCCTCTTCTGCCAGTGCGGTGAACCGTGGCATGCTGCTGTGGGAAGGCGGGGAGGAAGTGGTGGCCTTGGTTTTTCATTTCCCTTTTTCTCCTGAAACCACACCTTACCCCCCTTTCTCCGTTCCCCTCACAGCATCTGTACCCACACAGAGGGTGATGACCTGAGCTACCAACTGGGCAGAGGGAGGCCCTGAGGGTCCCAGCCAGGGTCCCAGAGGGACGCGGGCAGACAGGGCAGGGGCACGCGAGGCGCTCAGCTCCTTGGCTGATGGGAGAGGATATGTGGGCAGCACCTGGGATGCCCGTGGGGCCATGCCAGCCGGGGACTGGGGACATGGTCCCACTGCCACCACATGCTCACCACCAGAAGCCTCAGACGCCAACCCTACCCGCACTCCTGACCCCTCACTTGTCACCACTCTGCAGGTGGCAGCTGTTGTGCAAGCCCCTCCACTCCCACACACACCCACGATCGTGGGGACCCAGCCAATCCATGGTGCCTGGGGTGAAGGAGGCAGAGTTCCCAAGCCACAGAGCACACAGCCACCACATAGCACCTGCAGGCCAGCTGTCCTGGGGTGCTGCCCGTGGGACCCCCATTAAGGCTACAGGCCAGCTGTCCTGGGGTGCTGCCCATGGGACCCCACGAAGGCTACAGGCCAGCTGTCCTGGGGTGCTGCCCATGGGACCCCTGAGGGCTGCAGGCCAGCTGTCCTGGGGTGCTGCCCATGGGACCCCACGAGTGCTACAGGCCAGCTGTCCTGGGGTGCTGGCCGTGGGACCCCATGAGGGCTACAGGCCAGCTGTCCTGGGGTGCTGCCCGTGGGACCCCATGAGGGCTACAGGCCAGCTGTCCTGGGGTGCTGCCCGTGGGACCCCACGAAGGCTAAAGGCCAGCTGTCCTGGGGTGCTGCCCATGGGACCCCCATGAGGGCTGCAGGCCAGCTGTCCTGGGGTGCTGGCCGTGGGACCCCTGAGGGCCAGCTGTCCTGGGGTGCTGCCCATGGGACCCCTGAGGGCTGCAGGCCAGCTGTCCTGGGGTGCTGGCTGTGGGACCCCACGAGGGCTGCAGGCCAGCTGTCTGCCCCCGAGACATTATAGTAACACACTCAGTATAGGAACACACTCAGCAAGACGACGCGAAACCGGGGTCAGTGGGGAGCGGGGAGCCGGCCAGAAGCCTTCACTGGATCGTGGACAATGGTGACAGGCTGAGCCAGCCCACGGGACGGAGCCACAGGGAGAGAGGCCTGCTTCACCAGGGCCCTGCGGGGAGGCCACATCCCAACGGCAGGGACTATGAGCCTTCGCCTGCTGCAGCCTGTGGGGAAAGCAGGGTGGCTACAAGGGCAGGCGGAGGGAGGTTGCCAGCCAGCCCTACGGACCATGAGGCCAGCACGGCGGCACAGCACGCTGGCCCTCTGCCTGCAGGGCCAGCATCTCACAAGTGCAGGTTCATGTCCCAGCTGACCCACTTCCCATCCAACTCCCTGCTTGTGGCATGGAAAGCAGTAAGCCTTGGGACCTGCACCTGCATGGAGACCCGGATGACGCTCCCGGCTCTAGCCCAGCCCTGCCTCTTTCAGTTACTTCACAAATAATTTTGGTCAGCATTTTTAAGATTTTTAAAATTTCCTAGAAAGAAGCAAGTGTGTGTAGTTTTGGCTCAGGCCCAAAGGAGGCACTTCCTCACCCCAAACCCCAGGAAGCAGAAGCGGGGGTCACACCCCCAGGCCGTCAGCAGGATAGGGAGGGCCCGGCGGCCTGCCAGGGCCCCACAGATCCCGACACCTGGCCAGGGCTGGCACAAGGGCTGTGTTCAGGGAACACTGGCCAGCCATCTGTAGCTGCCACTTCCTGTGACCGAGAAGAGACCGTGAGCTCCGTAGCTGGGAAAGACCAAGGCTTGCAGAGGGAGAGACACGCACAGGGTCCCCAGGGATACTGCCACCAAGGACTCCCAGCATCCCCCACCCAGGCGGAGCAGAGGAAACCAACAGTCTCAGCTCTCCACACACACACACACACACACTGCCCCCTGCAGGACGAGGAGGGCACGGCACTCCTGGCTCTCCCAGCTCTCCCCACAAAGGCACATGGTCAGCACTGCCCTGCAGGACGAGGGCATGGCAGCTGCATGTCTTCCTCCCAGGGCCATGTGGGTTCAGCACTGCCCCCTGGAGGGCACTTCAGAACAGGCAGCCAGCACTCCCTGGTCTCACAGGGCACCTGTGGTTGGCTCTGCCCCCTCGTGGAGGAGTGGTGCACGGCCAGCAGCAGTCCTAGTTCTTGCATCTCCATCCTGGACACCCTGGTGCCTTTCACTTCTGCTCCAGAGGTCACTTGGTGGTGGACTGTCCCTTCACCAAGGATTCACCAGATGCCTCCAAGCCCACCAGACGAGCACTCTCAGCCCAGAGCCTGAGGGCCACCTCCTCATCCTCAGCCTCAGGGGCTGCAGCCTTCTCTCGAAGTCCATCGAAGTACTTTCCAGAAACCCCCTCGAGTTCCTCTGCCACCGCTAGGTATGTGCTAGGTTGGGCCGCCAGCTGGGGGCTCTTGACCAGCAGCCAGAAGATGGGCCCTGCAATAAACCCAGGTGCTCTGTCCACACTCTTGCAGGAAGGGGTCAGAGCCCAGCCCACCCCTGGAGGCCACAGCAGCCCTGTGCCCTTATGGTTCACCTCCAGCTGGAAATTCACTCAGACGAGCCCAAATGCCGCCTCTCCCAGGGGGCCTCCTCGACTTTTCCCCAGGACAGAAGCTCCTTCTCCTCTGTCAGCCTTGAGCCCTCACTCTAGCCATCCACCCTTAAAGTTTTCCTTAGTGAGTCCCCCTGCTGTGGCCTCACCCCAAGATTCCAGTTCCCAGCACCACCACTACATCTTTCTCAGCATTACAGGTTGGTCCTACTGAGAGGGCTCATCCACTCACCACCATGACCATAAGGTGGGTCACAGCACACCCTGCACTGACCAAATGGGGAACCTGAGGCTAAGCAATGAAGGCATCTTCCTGGGTGGCCTGGGGGGACTTGGATGCAGCACAGCATGGCTGCCGGATCTCCCGTCAGCCACGAGTTACAGCACACATAGCACATTCGTCCCTTCACATCCCTCAGACACAGGGGAGGGACGTCTCTGAGGGGGCCCGGTCCTCAGGCTGAGGGACGTGGGAACTCACCAAGTGTGAGGCTGGAGAAGGCGGAGTTGTGCATGCCTGTGTGTCGGCCCAGCTCTGTCCTGGCCACGCCAGGATGCAGGGCATTGGCGGTCACACCTGTGCCTGGGGAGAGCAGAGACTGATGGGAGGAGGGCAGGAAAGAGCCAGGCTCATCCAAACACTGCCCACCCTGAGCTTCCAGACCTCCAAGTCTGCTCCAAGATGCCCAGTTAGGATGCACTCTCAGGGACTGAAGGACAACCGTGAGAGCAGGGATCGATTGGTAATGTCGGCCAGGATGCCCAAGGCACTCCGCATGCCACACTGTGGCCTGGCCTCCCATGCTCCCCTCAGGCTCCCAGGGGAGGGCTGCCCCTCACTCACCTTGCAGCCGGCGGCTCAATTCCTTAGTGAAGAGGACCACAGCCAGCTTGCTCTGACAGTAGGCAGCTTTGGTGTCATACCTCCGCGCCTGCCAGTTCAGGTCATCAAAGTCAATGTGTCCAGCCACATGGGCCAGGGATGAGAGGTTGATGATTCGCGAGGGGGCCGAGGCCTTCAGCTTGTCCAGCAGCAAATTCGTCAGGAGGAAGTGACCTGGGTGAGGGGAGACCGAGGCAGGACTCTCACTAACAGCTTTGTCCAGGACGGCCATCCCACCTGCTTCATGGCTGTCACTTTCTGATTACTTTCCCGACAACTGCAAACATGCATGTGGACGGTGTAGATCTTGATGGAGACACTGTGAAGTTCTCACACACTTAGAGGCAGCTGGCACAGTGACATTCAAGTTCACCTGCACACACACGATGCATAGCTGCTGCAACTACAGCCAGCCCCTCCTTCCGGGAGGAACCGTGGCCTCTGGCTACCGTCTACCCCTCTCCCACCACCCCCAGGCCCTGGAGTCACTGTGCTGCCATGTCTCTGTGTTCCACAGACTCCATGGAGGATGAGGGATCACAGCACCGACACCTTTCTGTGCCTGGCTTACTTTTGCTTAATGACCCTGGCCCCCAGCCCCCAGCCCAGGCCTCACCCAGGTGGTTGACCCCAAACTGCATCTCAAAGCCATCCTCAGTGGTCCAGTGTGGGCAGCGCATCACAGCAGCATTGTTGATGAGAATGTCCACTCGCTCCTCCTCTGGGGGACAAGACAGTGCATCAGGGAGGGCTGAGCTCCCCAGACACACTGGCCCATTTGCAGCGGTGGGGAGAGCAGCCTCTCAGGGAGGAGAGAGGAGCAGTTATGGCACAGGGCTGCACCTAGGGCCCCACATCTCACATCAGCACGCTGGAATTGAGCCCAGCCTGGATTTCTAATTCCAGCTCCCTGCTAATGTGCATCCCGGAAGGCAGCAGACAAGGGCTCAAGCCCCAAGGTCCCTGTCACTCATGTGGGAGACCAGGATGGAGCGCCTGGATGCCGCAGCCATCTGGGGAATGACCCAACAAGTGGAAGACTGATCACCCACTCCATCTGCCTCTTTGTTTACTGCTTCGAGTCAGCCTACTGCTCCAGGTCCTCTTCCCACCTAAGTCCTGGAGAACTCGCCCACAGGATCCCTGGGGAATCAAAGTGAAGTGACTCATGGGAGCCAAGGAGCTGTGCACCCACAGGCACCAGTCTGACCCCCAACCCCTCATTTGCACAGAAGTGGCTGAGGTTGCACCAACAGGCTGAGGGCGCAACAGGGTCAAAGGCCCTGGGGCCCAGCTGGAGTAGGCACCGCTGCAGCACCCCACTGTGGAAAAAGCCACGTCCCTGGGGGAGGGCCACCGAGGTCTTCCCAGACCCCATGAGCATGTGATTTGGAAGGACCTGCAACACACGCTCAGCCAGCACATAACGCCTCCCTTCTGCCTCAACGGACACTAACAGGACCTGACACTGCTCACCAAGGCTATGGCGAGCCAGCAACAGCCCCAAGCCACTGAAAAGCCACGGCTGGCCCAGGGCTGTGTGTGGGGACAGTACGGCCGTGCGTGGGCTGGAGCAGGGATGCCACAGGTAGCCCAAGTGGGTCAGTCACACTGACACCAATGCCAGGACCCAGCCACCAACACCCAGGGCAGCTCCACTGAGAGGCACAAGGTGAGCCTCAAACTGGCACCCTCTGCTGCTGACCTGCAGGGGCTGCCTGCTGCACCTGCTGGCCTTGGGTGCGGGGGACAGGACAGGCTTGCAAGCCAACATGCCTGGGCACAGGGATCTGGCACAAGCTGGGAGGACCCAGGGAGAGCCTCCCTGAGGTCAGCTGGGCAAGCCCAAGGGAGCTTCCCAGGGCTCAGCCAGCCTAGCTGGCCTCAGGGCTCCAGTATGATGGACCTCAATAAACAGATGCCTACTGTGTACTCCAGCCTGCACACAGCAGACGCCTACTGTGTACTCCAGCCTGCACACAGCAGACACCTACTGTACACTCCAGCCTGCACACAGATGCCTACTGTGTTTAACTGACACCCCATCCACACTTGCACTGAATTGGGGTAGGAGCAAACCCAGGCTCCCAGAAGGAAGCACAGCCACACTGCATGGGCTAACAGCGCAGGCCCAGTGTGGGATTTTTAAACTGTTTCCTGTCACTGGAACTGACCAGGGTCCTCCACCCCTGGCCCTCCCTGCGTCTTCTCGCCAGTCATCAGGCCGAAGTGTGGCTTCACACACCTCCGCGCCTGCCCCAGCATCCAGGGGCCTACCTCACAGGCAGGGCAGCCTGCGGCAGCAGCCCACATTGGCCTTGTAAACCTGTTCCATGCACCCAGTTCATGCTGTCCACACACGATCCCCTCTGGACACTTACTCCCCCCGCCTCCCCGCGTGCCCTGCAAGCCCTGCACGCACCCCTACCTTCCACGATCCTCGCAGCAAACTCGCGGACAGACTTGAGGGAAGCCAGGTCCAGGTGGTGGGCGGTGACGCGGTGGTTGAGGGTCTCCCCACGGATGTCCTTGGCCGCTGCCTCACACTTCTCCTTGTCCCGACATGCCAGGATGACCCTGCCTCCTGGAGGCCAGGACAAGAGAATCTCTGAGAAACCCACCTCAAGGGAGGAACCCACAGGAAGACAACATACAGCTCCCCAGCCACGTGGGTGCCAAGGCCCGTGCCAACACTCAGAGGAGGACCACGGGCCCATAACACGCAGCAGTGCAACACACAGCTGTAGGCTCTGTCTTGCAAACCCTGGGGGAAATGCCATTTTGAAAACGATACACAGGCTAGCGTTGTGGCACAGCAGGCACAGCGGCATCTGCAGTGCCCGCATCCCACATGGGTACCAGTTTGAGCCCCTGCAGCCAGAGGCGGAACAGCGTAAAACCTTCTTCCAGATCTCCCATGTCAGTGCAGGGCCGCATTCACTAGAGCCAGCCCAACTGAGGCAACAGCCACCCCGCTCTGGGAGCATTTATCAGGGAGATATGGGTGTGTGAGACAGGCCCCAATGAGCTGCTCCATGAACTTTTTTTTTTTAGGATTGTATTTATTTTTATTGAAAGATCAGGTTTACAGAGGAGAGATGAAAGATCTTCCATTTGTTACTTCACTCCCCAAGCGGCCGCAATGGCTGGAGCTGAGCCGATCCAAAGCCAGGAGCCAGGTGCTTCATCCAGGTCTCCCATGTGGGTGCAGGGTCCCAAGGCTCTGGGCCACAAGCAGGGAACCGGATGGGAAATGGAGCAGCCGGGACACAAATCAATGCCCATAGAGGATCCCAGCATATGCAAAGTGAGGATTTAGTCACTTGGCCATGGCACCGGACTCCCCCTCCTTTTTTTAAAATCTTCAACTGCCAACAGGAGATAGGAACAGAGCAGAGGAGCATATTACGTGCTGGCCATGCAAATTCAGGTGCCCAGCTGCCACCGCATCCCATACTTCACATTTCCCGTGGGATCACATGTCCCTTCCCCTTGGGATACACCTCCTCTAAGCCCTGGGCACTGCCAAGCCCAGAGTGCACGGGCAGCCCACACTCCTGCTGCCCCTTCCATCCGAGGGCTCAAACCTAGAACCCTGACCCCTCCCTTCACACCTGACCCCACAGGGAGCGCCCAGACCAACCACCACAGCAGCCCACCGGAGCCACATCCCACAGGCCCTGACCATGACGCCAGTCCCCGGTCCCTCAGGGCTGACTCAACTACTGGCGGAAAGAGGGGCAGTGCCCCAGGAAGACCAAGGTCAGACCTGGGCCCTGCGTGGACACACACCCCCTCTGTGCAGCCATGGGAAGGAAAGAGCTGCTCCGTTTGAGACAAAATCCACACGACAAGCCCACCGCCGCCCATCTCCAGGGTCCCTCACCAAAGCCTGCTCAGCGCCAGCACCCCCTCCTCCCTCCCCAGCACCCCTTGACTGCACCAGGAAGTGGAGTCCAATGCATCATCACTTCCCTGCTCCTGGCTCATTCCACATGGCGTGACGTCCCACGCAGACAGCACCACACCCACTTCCACACAGCTGCCACTGAAGGGCTGCTCCGTGGCATGGCTGCAACAGCTGCCACCTCCAGGGCTGGCATCCCACAGGGGTGCTGCTCCGTGTCCCGGCTGCTCCGCTCCCCATCGCTCCCTGTTGTGGCCTGGGAAAGCAGCCGGGGACGGCCCAAAGCCTTGGGACCCTGCACCCGCGTGGGCGACCTGGGGGAGGTTCCTGGCTCCTGGCTTTGGATCGGCTCAGCTCTGACCATTGCGGCCACTTGGGGAGTGAATCAATGGACAGAAGATCTTTCTGTCTCTCCTCCTGTCCGTATATCTGACTTTCCAATAAAAATAAAATCTTTAAAGAAAAAATCTCTCCCCACAACCAGTGGGCGGTACCTCTTCTGGCCAGCTCCAGGGCGGTCTGCTTCCCGATGCCAGTGTTGGCGCCAGTCACGATCACCGTCTTCCCGGGGATGGTGGCCTTGCTGGGGCACGCTCCGCCAGCCACATAGTCCCTGGGGGCGAGGACGGGGTCAGGGGACCGCAGGGGGCCTGGGGAGCCACCAGCACAGGTGGCACCAAGGGCCTGGGCACATGCGGGGACCAGCCCCCATCACCCTGTCTTCACCGTAATCTAGTCTTTTTTTTTTTTTTTTAAGAAAAAGCTTGGTTTCAGAGAACCAGCTTCCCAAACACCACAGCCAGGCCTGGACGAGGGGCGCAGGACAGGGCGCCCAATCGTCTCCCCTGGGACCCCGGGCTGGGACCCTGAGTCTCCCGGCCTGAGGGGTGACCCCGGGCAGTGAGCCCTCAGAACCTCGGGGTGACCCCAGCTAACAACCCTCAGAGCCCAGGGGTGACCCCAGGTAAGGACCCCTCAGAGCCCAGGGGTGACCCCAGGTAAGGACCCCTCAGAGCCCAGGGGTGACCCCAGGTAAGGACCCTCAGAGCCCAGGGGGTGACCCCAGGTAAGGACCCTCAGAGCCCAGTGGGGTGACCCCAGGTAAGGACCCTCAGAGCCCAGGGGTGACCCCAGGTAAGGACCCTCAGAGCCCAGGGGTGACCCCAGCTAACGACCCTCAGAGCCCAGTGGGGTGACCCCACTTAAGGACCCCTCAGAGCCCAGTGGGGTGACCCCAGGTAAGGACCCTCAGAGCCCAGTGGGGTGACCCCAGGTAAGGACCCCTCAGAGCCTCGGGGGTGACCCCAGTTAAGGACCCCTCAGAGCCCAGTGGGGTGACCCCAGGTAAGGACCCTCAGAGCCCAGGGGTGACCCCAGGTAAGGACCCTCAGAGCCCAGTGGGGTGACCCCAGGTAAGGACCCCTCAGAGCCCAGGGGTGACCCCAGGTAAGGACCCTCAGAACCTCGGGGATGACCCCAGGTAAGGACCCTCAGAGCCCAGTGGGGTGACCCCAGGTAAGGACCCTCAGAGCCCAGTGGGGTGACCCCAGGTAACGACCCTCAGAGCCTGAAGGAGTGACCTTGGGCTGCCTCTCCGGGCCTGAGGGTGACCTTGGCCGTGACCTGCCTTCGCGCAGCCCGAGGAGGGTGACTAGGCGGTGACCCCAGTATCCCCGCCTGGCAGCCCCTCCCAGCACCGGCGCAGACCCCTCGTCCCCGCTCCCCTCACTTGAGCAGCACGGCGCCGCCCACCGCCGTGCCCAGCACCGACAGCGGCAGCACGTAGCGGCTCATCCCGGGGGTCCGGCGCGCGGGTCCGCGACCCACGTGAGGAAGCCCCGGCCAAGGGCACGCTGCTTCCGGGAGCGCCGGGCGCGGGGACTGCTGGGAGTGGTAGTCCCAGGAGCCGGGAGTGGGGCTACGGGAAGGGCCCGGGCGCGGGGGCTGCTGGGAGTGGTAGTCCCAGGAGCTCGGGGGCGCGTTCTGTGCTCCAGCGACGGCACATTCGCCTGGCTAAGATGCAGACAAGCTCCCATAATAACCGGGTTCGAGTCCCACCCGTGCACTAGCAAGCAGGGCCAAGCTGTATTGTCAAACATATTAACCTCTTTCCTTACTTGACAGAGGGCGTTTACCTAAAGAATCTGCCTAGACTAGGAGAAATCTGAAATTTTCCAAGCTAGAAAATGGTTCCTAGGCGAGCCAAAGGGAACTATGGAGGAAGAGCTGGGAACCTGGACCCCTGGGTGTGAGGGAGGAAGGGCTGGACCCCTGGATGTGAGGGAGAAGGGTCTGGGCTGGACCCCTGGGTGTGAGGGAGGAAGGGCTGCACCCCTGGGTGTGAGGGAGGAGGGGCTGGACCCCTGGGTGTGAGGGAGGAGGGCTGGGCTGCACCCCTGGGTGTGAGGGAGGAGGGGCTGGACCCCTGGGTGTGAGGGAGGAAGGGCTGGACCCCTGGTGTGAGGGAGGGGCTGGCCCCTGGGTGTGAGGGAGGAGGGCTGGACCCCTGGGTGTGAGGGAGGAGGGGCTGGACCCCTGGGTGTGAGGGAGGAGGGGCTGGACCCCTGGGTGTGAGGGAGGAGGGGCTGGACCCCTGGGTGTGAGGGAGGAGGGGCTGGACCCCTGGGTGTGAGGGAGGAGGGGCTGGACCCCTGGGTGTGAGGGAGGAGGGGCTGGACCCCTGGATGTGAGGGAGGGGGACTGGGCTGGACCCCTGGGTGTGAGGGAGGAGGGGCTGCACCCCTGGGTGTGAGGGAGGAGGGGCTGGACCCCTGGGTGTGAGGGAGGAGGGGCTGGACCCCTGGGTGTGAGGGAGGAAGGGCTGGACCCCTGGGTGTGAGGGAGGAGGGGCTGGACCCCTGGTGTGAGGAGGAGGGCTGGACCCTGGTGTGAGGGAGGGGGACTGGCTGGACCCCTGGGTGTGAGGGAGGAGGGCTGCACCCTGGGTGTGAGGAGAGGGCTGGACCCCTGGGTGTGAGGGAGGAGGGCTGGGCTGGACCCCTGGGTGTGAGGGAGGAGGCTGGGCTGGACCCTGGGTGAGGAGGAGGCTGGCTGCACCCCTGGGTGTGAGGGAGGAGGGGCTGCACCCCTGGGTGTGAGGGAGGAGGGGCTGGACCCCTGGGTGTGAGGGAGGAGGGCTGGGCTGGACCCCTGGGTGTGAGGGGGGAGGGCTGGGGGCCTGTGAGGAGGGGACTAAGTGTCTCTACGTCAGGACAGGGAGGACAGGGACGTTTCCTGCATGTCTTATGCTCAATAAATCCCCGAAACAGACACAAGGTGACACAGGTTAGGAACATTTCTGTTGTTTTGTTTCAGAAATTATGTCACAAGTAAGGAGCTTGCTCTGTGAGCACAGATCCAGTTTGTCAGCAATCCTCGGGTGACCTGGGGATCCTCAAGCTGACTAAAACGTCATCCTGGGATGTCCACAGAGTGCCCTGAACCCAGTCTGACAGCTGGAAGCACTTCCCCGGGGACGGGTAGGCTGGGGAAGGTTCTAGAATGGGTAGGAGAGACATCTCAGATGTCACAAAGACACCTCAGATGAGCATTGTCATGGGGCAATGACCAGAGGGACTTGGCAGGTGGTTTTAAGTGACCTTCATATGTAAAGTGTAAGTCAATAAATAAAAGGGATACTCCTTCCTAACTGAGAGGTAGGGCACCTAGGCGACGCCGTGAAGGGCAGCCTCCACAGTTGCCCTGAGAGCCACGAGGAGATGCCAAGGATGTGAGCCATTGGTCCTGCTGTCCTAAGGCGGGAGGACCTGAACGTGCCACCAGGCCTCACTGAGGGCAATGCATGGCCAGACCCTGTACCTGCCCGCCCAGGCACCTCCCTCACAGGAACACGGGCCTGGGGGACCGGCCACACCAAGCGGGGAGCTGGATGGGAAGCAGGGCTGCTGGGATTAGAACCAGTGTCCATATGGGATCCTAATGCATTCAAGGTGAGGACTTGAGCCACTAGGCTACCATGCCAGGCCTCTGTTTTTTCTTTTAAAGGCAATTTAGTTAGGGCCCCACACGATGGTCAGTGACTTCATCTTACATGTGCCAAGATCCTATATGGCCACTGGTTCTTGTCCCAGCTGCTCCACTTCCCATCCGGTTCCCTGCTTGTGACCTGGGAAAGCAGTGGAGGACGGCCCAAAGCCTTGGGACCCTGCTCATGTGTGGGAGACCTGCAAGAGGCTCCTGGCTTTGGATCGGTTCAGCTCCGGCCATTGCTGCCACTTGGGGAGTGAACCAACAGATGGAAGATTTTCTGTGAATCTACCTTTCCAATAAAAATGAATGTTAAAATATTTAGTTACTTTTATTTGAAAGAGTTTCAGAGAGAGGGAGACAGAGAGATCTTGCATCTACTGGTTCACTTCCCAAATGGCCACAATAGCCAGAACTAGGCTGTCCGAAGCCAGGAGCCAGGAGCTTCTTCTGGATCCCCCATGTGGGTGCAGGGTCCCGAGACACTGAGCCGTCCTCCACTGCTTTCCCAGGCCACAAGCAGGAAGCTGGAGGGGAAGTGGAACAGCCAGGACACACACCAGCACGTGCGAAGGTTGGCCACTGAGCCATCACACAGAGCCCCTGTGTGGTGATTCTGTGGACAAGAGGGTGAGAGACAGCCACGGGGCGTTGTCCCTGTGCCCGCAGCCCCTGGAGCCGGGGGCTGCAGCAGGCTTTCTGCGTCAAGGGCCACGCAGTGAACCCCGCAGCAGGGCCAGGCCCTGCCCAGGCAGCACCCGCAGGCCCAATGCCTCCAACGCAGCTGTAACCGTGTTCTGATGAAACTTGATTTACGAAAGCAAGTGACGGGCCATGGCGGGCTGGCCATGGGCTTGGGAGGCTGGCATGGCAGCCAGGACCTCACCCTTACCACGGCTGGCTGCTGGCACAAGGAGTGGACAGGAAAGGCCGTCCCTGGGACCTGCCACCCTTGCAGGCACACCTGGAGCAGTGGCCCTTCAGGGTGGTCACGGGGCTGCCTCCTCTCTGATACCTGCGCCGTGGTGCAGAGTGGATGCCGAGTAAGCAAGTGCTGAGCGAGTGACGAGATGAGAGCAAGAGGGAAGCACACAGGCGTGCAGCGCTGGGGACCCACAGCCCTTCAGGGGGCCTAGGATGGAAGCTGGCAGCAGAGTGCAGTGTGGCCCTCGGCCACGTGGACACACAGGTGCCCAGGAAGTGCAGTTCCGAAGGAGGGGGGAAAAAAAGAGAGAATGCCAGGCACACACAGCCTGCAGCAAGTCTCCTTACCCCAGCACTTAAACCCACTTAAGGGAAGAACCAAGGTGGGGGAGCTCGGCTGTACCCTCCAGGCCCGCCGGGACCCTCCCACTTCTCTGCTGGCGCTTGGCCAGCCTGGTGGGGGGCAGGGGCCACACAAGGACCAGGCTCCTCCGGTTTCAGGACCAGCAGCCCCGCTCACCCCACCCTGCTCCCGCCCCGAGAGCAAATAGCACCCGCCTCCCTCGTCCCTCCTCCCCCTCCAGCCAGGCCAGTTCTGGGGCCCTCCCTAACCCCTGTCCAAACCTGCCCCCTCCCCAGCACACATCCAGGACAGCCCCCACCCACTTCCCAGCCAGCCAGCCTGGGGGGCTTCCTCCCACTGCGCTGAACACACCGAGCCCGGCACCTGCCCCGCAGGGCCTGCACACACCTCACTCACAGGCTAAGGACGTGCTTTTCACCCATCACATCGTGGCCATTACATGGTCCTTGGCGAACTTCCACTCATGTCCAAACCCCTTTATCTGCCTCCTTCTCTCTCACACACAAGCTGGAGGAAGCTCCAGGGCCCAGTCTCCAGCTCCTAGGCGATCTGCCCCCTGCTCAATCCACCACAGCTCCCATCCCCCACCACCCTTGTTCTCAGGCTTCCTGGCTGGGGACACAGGGTGGGATGGGGTGGGGAGGGCTTCAGATGGGTCAGAGGCCAAGGCGTGGAATGTTCCCCCACCTCAGCCCTGCGAGCCCCCAGAACCCGCTGGCTGCTCCCCTGTAGGGGCGGAGCCCAGCCGCCCTAGGGGAACTGTGAGCACCCTCCAGTGCCTTGGGAGCGGCCTCCTCTGGGCAGTGAAGCAGGAAGCAGGCATGGGGCGGAGGCTTAGGTTTCGGTCTCTTGGCAGCTTCAAACCTCCAGGCCGCAGGGTGGGCGGGGCCGGGGCACCTGCCGGACCAGACTGAGACTCCGCCCTCTCACTCAAACGCTGCAACCCGGGCCCACCCTCCTCCCGCAGACCAGGGGTCCAGCCCTCCTCCCTCACACCCAGGGGTCCAGCCCCTCCTCCCTCACAGCCAGGGGTCCAACCCAGCCCCTCCTCCCTCACATCCGGGGGTCCAGCCCCTCCTCCCTCACACCCAGGGGTCCATCCCAGCCCCTTCTCCCTCACACCCAGGGGCCCAGCCCTCCTCCCTCACACCCAGGGGTCCAGCCCCTGCTCCCTCACACCCAGGGGTCCAGCCCCTCCTCCCTCACACCCGGGGGTCCAGCCCTCCCCACACCCGGGTCACCCTCCTCCCTCACACCCGGGGTCCAGCCCCTCCCTCACCCCGGGCCCCCTGCTCCCTCACACCCAGGGGTCCAGCCCAGCCCCTCCTCCCTCACACCCGGGGGTCCAGCCCCTCCTCCCTCAGACCCAGGGGTCCAGCCCCTCCTCCTTCACACCCAGGGGTCCAGCCCCTCCTCCCTCACACCAAGCCTGTTACCGCCCCCCGTGACTCAATCTGCCTCTTTTTCCCACCCGGGAGGCCATGCCCCAGGTTTCCCCTCCAGCAGTGACACAGGGCTGTGCTCCCTGCCCAGCAGGGCCAACTGACAGAAGGCTTGGGACGTGAGTAACCACAGGGGCCAGTAGAGAGGACCCTCCCTTTCGGTGCCCTAGGCCGTCCCAGTCAGCATGTCCCCTCTGCTAGCAGACCTCCCGTCTGACCAGCCCTTCTGGTTGGGCTCCAGCCCGTCACCTCCTCCAGGAAGCCTGCCCTGACCTTCTCAGCAGCTGGCTCAGACACTGGGGAGGGGTGCCTGCTGCCTGGGTCCTCATGGACCACTGGCTCTCTGCCAGGCTGTGTGCCAGCAGTTTCTGGCAACCTCATCTGATCTTCCCCATCTCAGAACCAGGTACCTGCAGCACAGAGACTGAGCTGCTCGCCTAGGGCCACACAGCAAAGTCGCAGCAAGGGATGGCAGTGAAGGGGCTAAGAGGTGTGGCATGGGTGCGCCCACACCCGGGGGGCTCTAGGTGTGCAGCTGTGGACCTCAATGGAGCTAACAGGAGCCACTCGCAGCCTGCTGTGAGGGCAGAAGCACTCCGCAGGCCACCAGCATCAGAGCATGGGTTCAAGCCCTGGCATCTCCACTTCCCATCCAGCTCCCCACTCATGCGCCTGGGAAAGCAGCGGAACAAGGCCCTTGGGTCCCTGCATCCATGTGGGAGACCTGGATGGGTGCCAGCCACCTCGTGGCTTTGGCCTGGCCCAGCCTAGGCTGTTGTGACTGTGGTCATTTGGGGTTGGAAGATCTCTGTTTCCATGTGTAACTGCCTTTCAAATAACTACAGCATTCATTGGCTCTGTAAAGAGACAAACGCCCAGTTAGGACGGCTCAAAGCCAAGCCTCAAGCAGGGTCCGCCTGCCCTGTGACCATCCGCCTGCCCTATGACCATCAGCCGGCGCTGTGACCATCAGCCTACCCTATAACCATCAGCCTGCGCCGTGACCATCCGCCTGCCTTGTGACCATCAGCCTGCACCGTGGCCCGTGATTGTCCACCTGCGCCGTGACTGTCCGCCTGCGCCGTGGCCGTCCGCCTGCGCCGTGGCCTTTGCATCACTGCACACATGGACCCCCTCCCTGCTCCCGCCTCCCTCGGTCACCAGCGTCAGGAACCATCATGCCTACAGATGTGCCACGTGCCAGGGGCTCAGCGCTGCTCTCCTCACAGTGTACCTGAGGTCAAGTGTCAGGAAAGGCAGGAGAACCATGGTCCCGACCAGGGTGGGGGGTCTCCTTGAGCCGGTCTAGAGGGCTGGCTTCCCCACAGTGTGACCCGAGGGCAGGGCACTAGGGGCTGGGCAGAGGGGGCTCCCCCTAGCCACGGCCAGCATCCCCCAAAGGAAGGCTGTACTAAGGTGAGGCCTCTGACCCTGGCTGTGATGTCAGAGTGTGTTGTTTGATTGATGCCTGATTAATACAATCCCCGCCCACACCGTGCACTGCCCCAGCCCCCCCATCTCCCCACCAGACCCGCCCCCAGGGCCTGCTGGTGCCAGGTGAGCGCTCAGGTATGCGGAGGGAGGCGTTGGCCTGGGGAGGGAGCTAGGAGGAGGGGCCAGTGGCTTGGCCGGCCTGGGGAGCTGAGAGCCAGTGGGGACAGAGGCAGACAGCAGTGCAGGTAAGGAGGCCTGGCCCTGGAGAGGAGGGGGCCTGGGGCTGGACCCTCGGGTCTGAGGGAGGAGGGGGCGACGGGCTGGACCCGTGGGTCTGAGGGAGGAGGGGCTGGGGCTCTGAGATCTCCACTGGCCGCCAGGTCCAGTCGTCCCCAGTTCCTTGCCGGCTTCCAGGGCAGCGGCCGGAGCCGCCCTTGTCAGCGCCATGAACACCTCCACTGGGTAAGTGCCCCTGCCCCCTGTCGCCCCACACCTTCACCACCCAGCAGACCCTGCTCGCTGCAGCCAGGCCCAGCACACACACCCGAGGAGGAAGCCAGCGTGGTCGGGGTTAGGGCAGACACCGCATCCTATCAGGGGTCCCCGGAGCCTCTGACCCTCCCCTGCCAGGGTCCCGCCCCGCTGGAACTTGCAGAAATGCTGGCGGGCAGCAAGTGCAGCGCTGGGGAGGTTCCACTGCGGCTGCTGGCATCCCAGGCGGGCAGGAAGAGGCTCTGGGAGAAGGGATGACAGGAGCTTCCTAGGGGCCAAGCACCAGCCCATCCTGCGCATTCCGTGGGGTGCTCCGAGCCTCCGGGGCTGACCTGTTTTGCGGGGGTACAAGCTGGGCAGAAGGAGCAACAGGAGGCCCCTGACCTCCGGGGTTCTCAGGAGCCAGTGACCTTGGAAAGGAGACCAGGATGCACGTGGCAGCTGAGAGGCCATGAACTCTTACCTGTACGGCCCTGGGGGGCCTGGAGCCACAGCCAGGGAGAAAGGTCAGGGCATGGGGGGGTGCAGCCGGGCTCCAGCCCAGGCCTGTGTGACAGCAGGCACCTGCTCCCTGCCACCGCCTGCTGGTGCCACACCTCCCCCGTCCTCCTGAAGCCCAGCTCAGGCCCCACCCTCTCCCCTGCCCACGGCCCCCTGTCCCCACAGGACCCTCATTCCTCTCTATTCCCCCCTCCCCAGCCCAGAGGCTGCCCCCAAGCCAAGTGCCAAGTCCATCTACGGTGAGTCAGGTGTCCCAGAGCCATGGGAAGGGGCCTGTGGGTGCTGGGATGAGCACCAAGGCCTTTAGGGAGGAGGGACTGGACCCCTGGGTGTGAGGGAGAAGGGGCTGGACCCCTGGGTGTGAGGGAGGAGGGGCTGGGCTGGACCCCTGGGTGTGAGGGAGGAGGGGCTGGACCCCTGGGTGTGAGGGAGGAGGGGCTGGGCTGGACCCCTGGGTGTGAGGGAGGAGGGGCTGGGCTGCACCCCTGGGTGTGAGGGAGGAAGGGCTGGGCTGGACCCCTGGTCTGAGGGAGGAGGGGCTGGACCCCTGGGTGTGAGGGAGGAGCGTGGGACCCCCGGGTCAGAGTTCCCTGCTGCGCCCACAGAGCAGAGGAAGCGGTATTCCACAGTGGTCATGGCTGACGTGTCCCAGTATCTGGTGAACGTGAGTCCGGTGTCTTCCTCCGGGACAGGGGTCGGGGGGCTCTGGGGCGGCGCTGGGCCGCGGGAGGCCGGGGAGAGCGGGGTGTGTACAGGCGCTGCCAGCTCTCGGCCTCGTGCGCCCGCGGACACAGAGTCAGGGACCTCGAGGCCGCTCCGACTCCGGCCAGCTCTGGCGCCGGGCAGCTGGCCACGGGGGTGAGAGAGGGTAGGAAAAGCCCGGGACTCAGCCCCTCGCCGCCCGCCCCAGCACCTGGTGACCTTCTGCCTGGGCGAGGAGGACGGCGTGCACACGGTGGAGGACGCCTCCAGGAAGCTGGCGGCCATGGACAGCCAGGGCCGCGTCTGGGCGCAGGAGATGCTGCTGCGGGTGTCCCCGGACCACGTGGCGCTGCTCGACCCCACCTCCAAGGTGCGGGGCGCGGGGTGCGGGGAGCCGCCGCGGGCGCGCCCCGTCCGGCCCCGGCCTCAGCTCGCCGTCCGCCCCGCAGGAGGAGCTGGAGTCGTACCCGCTGGGCGCCCTGCTGCGCTGCGACGCCGTGACGCCGCCGGGCCGGGCCCGCGCGCTGCTGCTGCTGGTGTGCCAGGAGCCCGAGCGCGCGCAGCCCGACGTGCACTTCTTCCAGGGGCTGCGCCTGGGGGTGCGCGGGGCGGGGCCGTGGGGGCGGGGCCGTGGGGGCGGGGCCGCGGGGCGGGGCTACCGCGGGGCGGGGCTGCCGGGGCGGGGCCATTGACGGGGCCTCCGTGTGGGCGAGGCTACCATGGGCGTGGTCCAGAGAGATGGGCGGGGATTCCATGTGATTGACGGGCTTCCTGCGATGGGTGGGGCCTCCCAAGGGGTGTGTGTGTGTATGTGAGAGACCCTCCCGTTGTGGGCGTGTCTCACTCGGTGGGCGGGTCTCTGTGTTGGGGCGTTTCCGCTGGCGTGGGCGGGGCCCCCGCAGGGGAGGGGCGTGGCTTGACGCTGTGATTGGCAGGCGGAGCTGATCCGAGAGGACATCCAGGGGGCCCTGCACAGTTACCGCTCAGGCCGCGGCGAGCGCAGGGCGGCGGCGCTCAGGTGAGGGCGGGATCCGAGGGGAGGGCGGGTCCAGGTGAGGGCGGGGTCCAAGGGGAGGGCGGCGGCGCTCAGGTGAGGGCGGGATCCAAGGGGAGGGCGGGGTCCGAGGGGAGGGCGGGGTCCGAGGGGAGGCGGGGTCCAGGGGAGGCGGGGTCCGGAGGGGAGGGCTGGGTCCGAGGGGAGGGCGGGATCCAGCGGAGGGCGGGGTCCGAGGGGAGGGCGGGGTCCAGGGGAGGCGTGGTCCAGGGGAGGCGGGGTCCGAGGTCAGGTCGGGGTCCAGCGGAGGGCGGGGTCCAGCGGAGGGGCTCCCGGTCCCAGCCGGCCTTGCCCCGTCCAGGGCCACGCAGGAGGAGCTGCAGCGCGAACCCGCGCCCGCCGACACGCCGCCCCTGCAGCGCCGCCCGTCGGTGCGCGCCGTCATCAGCGCGGTGGGGCCCACCGGCCGCGGCCGACCCCGGGAGGACCCCATCCCCGAGGCCGAGGGGGCGCCCGGCGCGGCCTGCCAGGATCCGGGGCCGCGGGGGCCGGAAGTGCCGGGGCTGCAGGCGGAGCGCGAGGTGGTGAGTGGGCGGGGCCAGGAGGGCGGGGCCTGCGTGCAGGTCGGATCCGGGGTGGGCGGGCTCTCGGAGGGCGTGGTCAGGAGTGGGCGGGACTCGCGTGGGGCGGAGTCGCTCTCCGTGCGTCCTGAGTGGCGGGGCTGTGCCAGGGGGCGGGGCCTGTAACTGCTGCACCACGTGTGCACCACTGGGTCCCGCTGTGCCCCCTGCGCCCCTCGCTCTCCCCGGCACCCCCCACTCTCCCCTGCACCCCTGTGCCCCCTGCGCCCCCCGCTCTCCCCTGCGCCCCCCCGCTCTCCCCTGCGCCCCCCGCTCTCCCCTGCGCCCCCCGCTCTCCCCTGCACCCCTGTGCCCCCTGCGCCCCCCGCTCTCCCCGGCGCCCCCCGCTCTCCCCTGCGCCCCCCCCGCTCTCCCCTGCGCCCCCCGCTCTCCCCTGCACCCCTGTGCCCCCTGCGCCCCCCGCTCTCCCCTGCGCCCCCCGCTCTCCCCTGCGCCCCCCGCTCTCCCCTGCACCCCTGTGCCCCCTGCGCCCCCCGCTCTCCCCTGCGCCCCCCGCTCTCCCCTGCACCCCTGCACCCCAGGTGCCCCCCGCTCTCCCCTGCGCCCCCCGCTCTCCCCTGCACCCCTGCACCCCGGTGCCCCCCGCTCTCCCCTGCGCCCCCTGCACCCCCGGTGCCCCCCGCTCTCCCCTGCGCCCCTGGCCTCTGCGGGGTTCAGGCCCGGGGCTCAGGCGCGTCCCCGGCCCCCAGGACCTCCTGAACCACGTGTTTGAGGACGTGGAGAGTTTCGTTTCGAGGCTGCAGAAGTCGGCCGAGGCGGCCCGGGTGCTGGAGCACCGGGAGCGGGGCCGCAGGACCCGGCGCCGCGCGTCCGGGGGTAAGGGGGCGCGCCCGCACGGGGGTCCCCGCCTCGGGTCTGCGGCGGTCGTACGCTGACCCCGCGTCCCCCCGCTGCCCCGCGCAGACGGGCTGCTGACGCTGCGGGCCAAGCCGCCGTCCGAGGCCGAGTACTGCGACGTGCTGCGCAAGATCAAGTACGCCTTCAGCCTGCTGGTGAGCGCGGCGACCTGGGGACCCGGGCCCCGAGTGACCGCTGCCCGCCTCCCTGGCCCCGACCCTGAGTGACCGCTGCCTGTCTCCCCACCGCAGGCCCGGCTGCGCGGCAACATCGCCAACCCGTCCTCCGCCGAGCTGCTGCACTTCCTCTTTGGGCCCCTGCAGATGGTGGGTCTGGGGTCCAGCCGCCCGCCGCCCTGACCGCCCTGACCGCCCCGCCGCCCTGACCGCCCTGACCGCCCGCTCCATCCCGGCAGATCGTCAACACGTCCGGCGGCCCCCAGCTGGCCAGCGGCGTGCGCAGCCCGCACCTCACCGCCGAGGCCGTGGCGCTGCTGCGGGACAACGTGACTCCGCGCGAGCGTGCGCTCTGGGCCTCGCTGGGCGACGCGTGGACCAGGCCGGGGTAGGCGGGGCGACGGGTGTGGCCACCTGGGGCGTGGTCGCTGGGAAGGGCGTGGCCACAGGACGTGGTTATGGCGACGGGTGTGGTCACCGGGGGCGTGTCATGGAGCAGGGGCGTGGTCAGCAGGAGAGTGTGGTAATCTGGCTGGGCGTGGTCAGCGGGGAACGTGCTGATTGGAGGAGCAGGGATCTGGGGCGGACCCAAGACACAATTCGGTACCCGAGAAAAGGCCGGACAGCAGACTGGACCAATGGCGTTGGAAGAAAGGCGGGGCTTAGCGGGAGGGGCGTGGCCACGGAGAGGGTGTGGTCACAGAAGGGGCGTGGTGACTCCGAAGGTGAGCCGGTCGTGCGGAGCGCCGGGACCCGGGCTGGGGATCCCGAGAGCGGGCAGGGGCGAGGCTCCGGGGCTCCGGGGTCCGCAGGGGCGAGGCTCCGGGGAGGCGGCCCGCGCACGCGGCTGAGCCGAGCCCGCCCGCCCCCGGCCGCAGGCTGGAGCTGCCCCCGGAGGAGGGCGCCCCGTACCGCCCCGAGTTCTGCAGCGGCTGGGAGCCCCCGGCCAGCGACCCGCAGGGCCGCCCCTGGGAGGACCCGGTGCACAGGCAGCTGCAGCACGAGCGGCGGCGCTGGCAGGTGAGGTTGCCGGGGTGGGGCACAGCGGGCGGACCCCCGAGGGCGGGCGCACCCTTCTGACCCGCGCCCTTCCGGCTTCCCGCAGCAAAGCGCCCCCCGGGTGGCTGTCAATGGGTGAGTGTCCCCCTCGGCGGGGCGGGCGGGGCGGGCGGGGGCCGAGCACCCAAGGCTGACTGCACCCCCTTTGTGTCCGTCTACCCCTCCCTCCTGCCTGCCGCCTCGCACAGGTGGGTGAGGTGGTGAGGGGCTGGGGTTGGGGGCTGGGAGAGGGGGGAGGAGCAGGGAATGGGGCAGGAGAGGGGAGCCGCAAGGGGCTGGGAGTGGGTGGACCCCAAGGACGGGGCCCCCTGGGGTGCTGCAGGGAGGTGGCCGGGAGTGGGGGTGTGAGTCTGGGAAGGAGCTGGGGGAACAGCTTCGGGGAGACTTGGGAAGGGGTGGTGTCAGCGTTCGGGTGCAGGCAGAGGTGAGTGTCCCTGGGGGGGTCAGGAAACTGAGGCTGAGCAGGAGGCGGAGGGTGGCGGGGACCCTAGGCCACTCAGGGAATAGGGGCAGAACGGAGGTGGGGGGACAGGACAGGGCTGGGGGAGGCAGGGGGCGAGCCTCTCGGCTGGGACAGCTGCAGGGAGCTGCCGGCCCCACACAGGGGGCGCCGCGGCCCTGAAGACCCCCCCTCTCTCCTGCACAGGTAGGCCAGCTGGGGGCAGAGGTCCCTTACTGGGCCCCTGCTGCCAGTCACCAGCTCTGGGCAGCGGGCAGGGGACGGGACAGCTGCTGCTTCTGGTGGTGCTGGGGCACTGGCAGTTAGAGCTCTCTGCTGGCCCGTGTGGGCTGCACCTCGGCCTGAGGGGCGTTCGCAGGAATGAAGGGAACTGGGTGGGAGTCCAGGCACCAGGTCCTTCCTGCCAAGGACCACGTCCAGTCAGCTGTCCGTGCACAGAACCCGGCAGGTGGCTGGGGTGGCTGGCCTCCCACCCGGGGCTCCATTAACAGTATTAACCTGGCCCCTGCTCCGCCCCTGCTTGGCCGTAACCCCAGCTCACCAGGGCTTTGCTCAGGCGGGCAGTGCACCTGGCTGCCCTCTGACCCCCACGCCCCTCCCCCCAGTCACCAAGATGCAGAGTTGGGAGCAGAACCACAGCTGGAACAGGAGCCCGCGGCCGGGAAGTGGGTGCGGTGTGACTATGACTTCCAGGCCCGTAACAGCAGCGAGCTGTCGGTCAAGCAGGGGGACGTACTGCAGGTCGGCCAGGAGCGGGGTGGGGGTGGGGGTCCGGGGGACGTACTACAGGTCGGCCAGGAGCGGGGTGGGGGTCGGGGGGACGTGCTGCAGGTCGGCCAGGAGCGGGGTGGGGGTCGGGGGGACGTGCTGCAGGTCGGCCAGGAGCGGGGTGGGGGTCGGGGGGACGTACTACAGGTCGGCCAGGAGCGGGGTGGGGGTGGGGGTCGGGGGGACGTACTATAGGTCGGCCAGGAGCGGGGTGGGGGTCGGGGGGACGTGCTGCAGGTCGGCCAGGAGCGGGGTGGGGGTCGGGGGGACATATGCCAAGGGGGTTGGGACAGGGATCAGACGGACATGCCATTGGGGGCTAGGGTGTCAGGTGAAGGCCTGAGGCTGGCCAGCCCTCAACTCCAGACCCTGGCTTCGAGCCCTTGTCCCCTGCCCGGTGCAGGTCCTGGATGACCAGCGCAAGTGGTGGAAGGTTCGGGACCCTCAGGGGCAGGAGGGATACGTGCCTTATAACATCCTGACGCCCCACGCGGCTCCTGTGGTGGACTGCGGCCAGCACCCTGCCCAGCCCCTGGTAAGCCGGGGGGATCAGGTCGAGAGTAGATCGGGTGCAGAAGTGACCCCAGAGCCAGCAGCCGGCCTCTCTACTTCAGGAGCCCAGCACGCCCCCCGCCCCACTGGCCCCGGCCCCGTCCCGGCCGCGCTGGGATAGCTGCGACAGCCTCAATGGCCTGGACCCCAGCGAGAAGGGTGAGTGCGGTGGAGAGCTGGCCCGCGGGAGTCCCGCACGCCCACGCACTGAGCCCGCACCGACCCCGCACCACACTCTGCCCGCAGACAAGTTCTGCCAGATGCTGAGCGTGAACGAGGAGCTGCAGGCACGCCTGGCCCGCGGCCGCTCGCTGCCCGCACCCCGCGCCGAGCCCCGCGCCGCCGAGCCGCAGCTGGGCCGGCACTCCGACGCCGCCGAGGTGCGCGCCTGGCTGCAGGCCAAGGGCTTCAGCTCCGGGTGAGCAAGGGGCGGGCGCTGACCGGCGGGGCAGGGGTGGGGGGCCAGCGCTGAGCAGGACTCCTGGGCCCTGACCACCGCGCTGTCCCCCAGGACCGTGGAGGCGCTGGGGACGCTGAGCGCCGCGCAGCTCTTCTCGCTGCAGAAGGACGAGCTGTGCGCAGTGAGCCCCGAGGAAGGGCCGCGAGTGTACAGCCAGGTGGCCGTGCAGCGAGCGCTGTGGCAGGTGAGCCGGGGGAGCGAGGGCAGAAGGCAGGTGAGCCCCGGGAATTGAGAGCGGGGTCCTGAGGCCCCCCAACCCCCTGCCACAGGACAGGGAGAAGGTGTCGGAGCTGGAGGTGGTGATGGAGAAGCAAAAGAAGAAAGTGGAAGGTGGCACGGCCGCGGAGGTTCTCTGACCCCTGCAACACTGCCTCCTGCGGGGGAAGGGCTCTGTGCCAGCCCCCCGGACCACGGGGCCCCTAACCCCGGGCCGGCCACAGCGCCCAGGACGGGCACGCAGCGAACCCGCACGCTGGCACGCGCTGTCCCCCTTTATAAAGAGCCTCTCCACAAGTGTGTGGCTGTCCGTCCCTTCTCTAGCCGGCTGCCCCTCGCCGTGCCTGCAGGGCACTGGTCCCTCCAGGCCTGAGACCTTGTCCAGCACCTGCGGCCTGTCCTTCCAGCCAGCTCTGGCCCGGCTGTTGGCGGGGCTGCGGCAGGCCCTTGGGTCTGCGCTGGGGAAGCCACCCTGAGCCCAACTGCCCCCTGGCACCCACAGCTCCGCCCAGAGGCTTGGCCGGTCCACCAGCGGCTGAGGGCCAGCTTTCTCCCGGGCTTCCCCCCACAGCACAGTGCGGGCCACCAGCCCTGTGGGAGAGGTCAGCTCTGGAGCCGTAAGCCCCTGCCCTACCCCCACCCCGGAATGAGCCCTGTGCAGGAAGAGCACGGCCAGCAGTGTCCTCACCTCAGGCCCCTGCCCCACATCCCTCCGACTGCACCTGCCTGAGCTACCCGCAGGGCCCCCGCTGCCCTTCCCAACCTGACCAAGCTCAGCGCGGTGCTGGGGCTGTCCAGTCACCCCTCCACCCCTTGCCAGCCCACCTCTCGCTCCTAACCAAGGAGCCAGACATGCCAGTGGCCAGAGGGAGGAGCTAGGACTGCCCCCTCACTGCCATGCTTTGCCCAGGCCAGCCTCGCTGGACCTGGACTCCGTCCTGCACCAGCGGGGGCACAGCCAGGTGAACTTGGGGAACCTCGTTCCTCCCTGCAGACCACCCTGTCCCCCTCCGCCAGAGCAGCAGCAGCCCCGAGCCCGTGGGCTCCGTCCTTGAGGCACCAAGCCCATACCAGCCTGCCCGTGGCCAGCTCCCGTCTCAAGTGGCAACTTCATCACATTTATTTGTGGTGCCTGTGCTTTGTCTCAAAAATACCTCCTCCCCCTGCCCCACCCAGGAGTGGGGAGGGGGCAGCAAAAAATAGCAGACGCCCCTCCCTATTGCACACGGACCCGCTTTGTGGTCCACCCGGCGCAGGCCGGTGGGCTCTTGGCACGTTCTGGATCCTGCTCGGGGAGGGGTGCTGGGGGGCATCACACGTGCTGGGGGCTCCGGGGCAGCCCCTCCGCTCCGCTGCTCCCTGCACAGCCTGGTCCCGGCTCCTCCCTGGTCCTCAACGACATCCCCTACCTGGCTCGGCCTCCCCCAGGGGGGCTATGGCTTCTCTCGACCCCGGAGCCCTGTCACGCGTGCTCACGCGGGGGAGGGGTTTGTGTTTGGCAGAAGCAGCTGCGTACACGCGGGCGTGGGGGTCCTGCCGTCACTTGGAGAGCTTGCTGATGACTCGGATCAGCGCTGCATTCTCGTCCTTGAGCCGCTGGTTGTCAGCTCGGAGGTCGGACAGGGCCTGCAGGACGGGCAGCTCAGCCGGGGCCGTGCCCGCCGTGCACGCCCCCAGCACCCCAGCCAGCACCTACCTTCAGCTCCTCCTCCAGCTCCGCGGCCTTGCGCTCCAGAGCCCTGCGCTCCTGGATGGATGGGGGAGTCAGAAGCCCGGGAGGGGCAGCAGGGGAGGTCGTGTGCCCCCCGACCCTGAGGGACGCAGCTGGCCCTACTCACGAATCTCTCCAGCTCCAAGAGGGCTGGCCGCTCGGCGAAGCGCTCCTGCCTCTGGGGAGGACCAAGACAAGCACCAGTTTCAGCACCGAGGGCTGGACCCCCACCACTGGCCCTGCCCCTTGTGGCTCAGCATCTGCCTCCCCCTGTGTGTGGCAGAGCTGGGGTCCACCCCCAGTGCCCTCCTGCCGCCCAGGGCCCCACCCGCTGTCCAGGCCCACCCACTGCCCCGCTGCCGCTACCCTCACCTGCGTGGCCCGCTCCAGCTCCACTTTGAGCTGTGCCAGCCGCAGCGTGGTCTCGGTGAGGGCCTCACGCAGCCGTTCATTCTCCTGGCGCAGATCTGCATACAGCTACGGGTGTACAGGTGCAGGGAGCCAGGTGGGTCAGCCAGCCAAGGAGGGGGGTGGAGCAGGCAGGGCCACGCTGACAGGGCAGGGAGCAGGATTCACACCTTCCGGAAACCTCCGTCGGAATCTCGAGGCTCGGGCTGGGGCTCAGGATCCGGCTTGGGGTCGCTCATGCCAGGCTGCCTGCGCGAAGCGGGTCCGCCGCCGTCGGGAGCGCTGGGGGGGCGGAGCTGGGTCAGGCTGGCCGCCCCACAAGGCCACGGGCCCACCGGCCCCGTCCAACCCCACTCCTACCTGCACTCCGGGCCGGGGTCTGCCTCCTCTCCCTGCGAACACAGGGGGGCTCAGAAGGGAACTGGGGAGCACCTGCACCAGGCCCCTCACCTCCGCAGGCCCCTCACCTCCGCAGGCCCCTCACCTCCGCAGGCTCCCACCCTCCGCAGGCCCCTCACCTCCGCAGGCTCCCACCCTCCGCAGGCCCCCACCCTCCGCAGGCCCCTCACCTCCGCAGGCCCTCACCTCCGCAGGCCCCCCACCTCCGCAGGCCCCCCCCCTCCGCAGGCCCCCACCCTCCGCAGGCCCCCACCCTCCGCAGGCCCCTCACCTCCGCAGGCCCCACACCTCCGCAGGCCCCTCACCTCCGCAGGCCCCTCACCTCCGCAGGCCCCTCACCTCCGCAGGCTCCCACCCTCCGCAGGCCCCCCACCTCCGCAGGCCCCTCACCTCCGCAGGCCCCCCACCTCCGCAGGCCCCCACCCTCCACAGGCCCCTCACCTCCGCAGGCCCCTCACCACCGCAGGCTCCCACCCTCCGCAGGCCCCCACCCTCTGCAGGCCCCTCACCTCCGCAGGCCCCTCACCACGGCAGGCTCCCACCCTCCGCAGGCCCCCACCCTCCGCAGGCCCCTCACCTCCGCAGGCCCCCGCCACTCCTTGCCGACCTTGCGGTGCTCCCGGGCGGCCTGGGGTCCCTGACCCTGCCCGTCGGGCGCCTCTGCTGGGAGAGGGGCAGCAGTCAGACCAGGCCCCCCAGGGAGGCCGTGCCCTGGAGGGTCACTACTGGGGCGGGGGCACGGCCCTCACCTCTTTCGGCAGGGTTCTCCGCGTCCTCCAGTCCGGGGACCCGGGGCCTCCGGGAAGGCTCCTGCGGCGAGGGGGCGGGTCAGAGGACGGCGCGCCCGGGCCCTCCCGCCGCCCCTGGCGCCCGCTCACCAGGCTGGGCACGGCTGGCCTCCCGGCCTCGGCGGCCCGGCCCGCCGTCTTCTCGGCTTCCTTGAGGTCCGTCAGCGTCACACCCTGGCGGGGAAGGGTGGTCAGGGCCGGCCGGCCCCTGGGGGCCCAGCGCTCGCACAGCCCCGCACAGCCCCGCACAGCCCCGCACAGCCCCGCACAGCTCCGCACAGCCCCGCACAGCCCCGCGGCCCTCACCTGTGTGGCTCTGCGCGACTGGCGCATGAGGCGGGAGCGGGCTTTGCGCTGGGACTCGGACTCCTCGTCACGCACGGGCATCTGGTAGGACCTGAGCAGGACCCCCGCTTCAGGCAGGGCTCCCCGCCGGCCTGGCCCCCACCAGGCCGCCGTGCCCAGGCCTGGGCTCACCTGCGCCGGTCCCTGGACTCCGCTGCTGGCGCTGGGGGGTCGGGCTCCAGCCTCGGGGAGGGGCCGCTGCAGTCATCCGAGGGAGGGGGCTGCGAGGCCGGCTCAGACCTGTGAACGTGACCTTAGCTGGCACGTGCAGCAGGGGACAGAAGGGACGGGACGGAGCCTCAGTCCACACAGACAGCACCGGGCAGGGACAGGGCAGCGACACAGGGCCTGCAGGAGGCGAGGCCTGACGGTGCCCAAGGCCGTGGGGCTGAGTCGGGTCCCACTGTGGTACTCACGGGGCAGAGGGTTCTGGCACCTTCCAGGAGAGGCTCGGGGTAACCCTGGCCAGCCGGGGCTCCCTGGCCTGAGAGGACAGTGCAGTTAGGGTCTCTGGAGGGCAGTGCAAGCCCCGCCCCACAGCGTCCCCCCTCACCTGTCGGCAGGTCCCGTCCAGGCCAGGGGACGAGGCGGAGCGCCGCAGCCCGAGCGTCCCCTCGGCCCCATGCCCATCAGGGGGACCCAGGGCTCCCGAGCTCTCGGTCTTCTGCAGGCCGAAGCGCCTGGAGAAGGGGGCGTCCTCGGGGGCCTGCAGAGGCAGGGGGCCTGAGCTATGGAGCGGGGGACAGGGCCCAGCCCCTCACAGGGGACAGGCTGGACAAAGATATAAACGCACGCGCCCAGGAGGACCCTGAGAACGGGAACAGGAGGGAGCGGGGTCCTCGGTTTCACTCCCTGGCCAACCCCATACCATGGTACCCATACTCACTGTGCCGCCCGGAGCACTGGGGGGTGGGGAGGACACTCCATTGAGGGCACTGGGCTCTGCAGCAGGGGGCACTGCGGGAAGGGGTGTGCAGAGCTGCTGCCAGGACTACCACCCTGACCTGCATCCTTAGAAATGGGGGGCCAGCCCCTCCTCCCTCACACCCAGGGGTCCAGCCCCTCCTCCCTCACACCCAGGGGTCCAGCCCCTCCTCCTTCACACCCAGGGGTCCAGCCCAACCCCTCCTCCCTCACTCCCAGGGGTCCAACCCAGCCCCTCCTCCCTCACACCCAGGGGTCCAGCCCCTCCTCCTTCACACCCAGGGGTCCAGCCCAGACCCTCCTCCCTCACACCCAGGGGTCCAGCCCAGCCCCTCCACCCTCACACACAGGGGTCCAGCCCCTCCTCCCTCACACCCAGGGGTCCAGCCCAGCCCCTTCTCCCTCACACCCAGGGGTCCAGCCCAGCCCCTCCTCCCTCACACCCAGGGGGCCAGCCCAGCCCCTCCTCCCTCAGACCAGGGGTCCAGCCCCTCCTCCCTCACACCCAGGGGTCCAGCCCCTTCTCCCTCACACCCAGCTCCCCCAGACCCCTGCCAGCCAGTGGCTCTCACCTGCAGGGCCTTCCCCGTCCTCCTCGTCCCGCGGGGGGAGAGCCCCGGCTGTGGCTGTGGCAGGTTT